AAGGACCAGGCCGTGCTGGTGAGTCCCTGCCCCGGTCCCGGCGTGGCGCAGACCCAGCCCCACGTCCTCCCGTGCTCCCCGTTCCTGGCTGAGCTGCTGGGGGCTCGTCGGTGCGCAGGGGTTGTCCCCCTCCTACCCCCCAGCTTGTCCCAGTGCAGTGCCAGGGTGTGCCTGCGGTTCCTGCGTCATCCACCTAAAACACATCAACAAACAATAAATTCCTTGGGGTTAGCGAACAGCCGTCACACATCCCACCAGGACCAGGGCCTCACCAATTTTAATTTATTTGTGCCTCGCTCCACTGAGGACAAGAGGCAGCTGTCCCTTTCTCACTAATCGCGAATCCGGGAAGGTCTGCGGAGGGATGGGACCTGGTCCCTCGCAGGTGGTCACCACGGTTAGCCCAGGAGGCGGGTTGGGGACTGGTTGTCCTGTTCACCTCTGCGTGCATCGCGATGATTATCATGGCTTGGGCTCAATTAATTAATTAGTCTCAACAGCTGAGCCCACAGGAAGCTGGCAGGTACTCTCGCTGGGGTTGGGGCGAGGCTGATGTTCCTCTGTCTCCTTGCTCCGGTAGAACGCAGCCAATGCAGCGCGGGAACTGGTGATCCAGCGGCTGATGTTGGTGGGGAACGTGTGTGAGAACGAAGAGCAGCGGCTGCTGGAGAAGGTGCACGCGGAGGAGGAGCGGGCACACCAGAGCATCCTGACGCAGCGCGTGCACTGGACGGAGGCTCTGCAGAAGCTGGCCGCCCTCCGCACCTACCTGGTGGACGTCATCACCAACGTGGATGACCAGGGCTTGCTGGTGAGTGCTGCTCCTGGTGCCCAGGGGCGGGTTGGTCAGCCCAGAATTCACCTAGACTTTTTATGGTGGATATTTTGGGACTTAAAAAAGGTGTTTGGTAGCTTGCTGCACTGACAGCAAGGAGGCAGAGTTGGGCAGGACCCACGTGTGCAGGTCTGGCTCAAGGAACCTCCTTCACCTGGTCCTGACAAGCCCCTGTGTGTTCTTGGTGGTTCCCGGAGCATCTGCTCTGCCTGATTCTGCTTTTTCTCACAGTGAGGTTCAGAACCACGCGGGCTCAGGTCTCCAAGATCGTAGAATCACGGAATCACAGAATAGTTTGGGTTGCAAGGGACCATGGAGGTCATGCAGTCCAACCCCCTGCAGTGAGCAGGGACATCTTCCACGAGATCAGGTTGCCCAGAGCCCCATCCAACCTGACCTTGAATGCCTTAGCTTGAAGCTGCTGGCTCAGGACAGCTGTGGGTTGAGAGCTGCTCTTATGGCGGTTAATTGGGACACCAGTTTGTGCTGTCTGGTTTTAATCAAAACGTGGCCCTGGGGGAGCACCTGGAGCTCTTCTGGAAAGCCTGCCCCGTTGTCTGGCACCCCTCTTTGGGGTATTTACCACGCAAAGCAGCCCCTGCTTCCTGTTGCTCGGCTCCTTCTCTGGCTGTTCAATTCTCTTGGTTTACCCGAGCGGTTCCTCGCATTTTGGAAGCGAGCAGGTTGGCGTTGCACCGCCTCGCTCTTAGCCTCTGCTTCCCCGTGTCACTTTGTGAAGAGTGGGGCAGCAGCTTAAAAACAGAACTGATCCCACCACGGAAGGTTGAGGCTGTCCCTTTGGTGGGACATGAGCATCTCTCCTGCCCCAGTGCCTGAGCTGGCTGGGCTGCGGCCTCGCCGGAGCCAGCAGAGGTTGTAAAGGTTAGATTCCTCCTTTTATCATGTAGCGGGGGGGAAATAGGGATCACGCGTTCTCCACCTTGGATCATGGGTGTTGGCGTTGGTGTCTATCGGGAATCGATACGTCCTGTGACACAGGAAGGTGGGAGGCATGCAGAGCACCTGTGGCTCATGTCTGAGCCCTGCTCAGGTATTTTTCTACCAGTTTGGTAACTGCGCTGTACCCTGAGAGCACACCAGTGCTGGCGGTACAGAAACACGTGGGGCTGGTCACAAGGTGATCTGACTCTTGGGTTAGGGCTCGGCAGCTTCACCCCATATCGAAGGCTCGGGGGCTTGTGTGCTGTGAGCACGGGATGTTCTCGCAGCAGGGTGGGGGGCCGGGGGGGCTCAGGGCTGGGGTTCCACGCTCTGGGCAGGGCAGGGTGCAGCGGTGGGAGCTCGCAGGCACAGACAGCCTGGTGTCTGCCGGAGAGTCTGGAGGCAGAGCCGGTTCTTTGTGGGTCTGGAGACCCTCCTCCTGTCTCAGCTCCCCACGTGTATCCCTCGCACCAGAGGGTCTGGCCGTGCTTGCAGTCTCCTGGAGCGGTGGCAGGCTGTCTGGGTGCTCCTGAGTCACTGTCACCATCCACCCGGTCCCCCTGGCACAGTGGACGCTACCCCTGGCTGGGTGCAGAAGATGTATTGCCTGGAGCTGGTCCCACTCGTTTTCTGGATCAGGGAGAGGAAAGTGCTGATGCTGGGCACTGCCCTGGGTCCCCAAGGCCAGCGTGGGGTGGGGGTGGCCTCTCTGGGTCGGGAAGGAGAGCAGGGCTCCCTGGGTTCTGGGTTCACTGTGCCCCAGCCTGTGTTTGGGATTTTGTCTGTGGGGATTTCAGCTCTGGTAACTCTTTCTCTCCTTGTCCCCAGCATGCAGAACAAGAGATCTTCGAGAGGTCAGTACCTGGCTGCTCCTGGGCCTTTCCCTGCCCCTGCTCCTGCCTGGCTGACCCCTCTGTGCTCCTGCTGTCACAGCATGCCATTGCTCCGGTGACACCCCATTGCTCTGGTGACACCCCCGCTGCCAGCAGCCGTTGCTCCAGTGACACCCCATTGCTCTCGTGACACACCCGCTGACCG